TTTTTGAGATGGAGTATCACTCTGTCACCCAGGCTAAAGTGCGGTGGCGTCATCTCGGCTCACTGCAACCTCCGCCTCCCATGTTCAAGCAATTCCCTCCCTGCCTTAGCCTCCCAAGTAGCTGAGATTATAGGTGCACGCCACCATGCCCAGCTAATTTTTGTATTTTTAGTAGAGACAGGGTTTTACCATCTTGGTTAGGCTGGTCTTGAACTCCTGACCTCGTGATCCACCCACCTTGGCCTCTCAAAATGCTGGGATTACAGGCAGGAGCCACTCTGCCTGGCCGGTCTTTAAATTTTTTAATTAGTTGTTATTGTTTAATAAAGATGTATACCAAGATACTTGCATCATACCAAGAAAAAGAATAATTTTGGGGTGAGAGTTCCGAAGTAAATACACTTTCTTTTCAGGCCTTGACCCAGGCAAAGCTGTGAAGTGGAATTTTGCCAGCCACTGTCCTGGCCAGCTCACTTGTACTTACCCCTCCTCTCTCTCTACTATTTTGATGGAAAATATGTGAAACCATGTGTATGACTGCGTTAATATTTTCATTGATTAATAGAAGTATGTGGGTAACACATGAGGGTAAGGCCCACCACGGATATTCCCTCTTTTCTTTCCATTTTCTTGACTTCTGTCTTTGACTTGTATTTTGACTGTCCTCTGCCTAACTCTAGCCACTTTTGAGACCATTTTACTTGCTTTCATTTCTTCTGACCGTGTTTAAATGAGATGTGGAGCTAAATGTAATGCAGTAATCCCCTGCCCCCAACATCCTATCTGTTACTGACTACCACTCCATTCTCCCCGGAGAGTCCCTTATTTCGTTACACAACTAAGACCAGCTCTGCTGAGAGTCAGCAATGTCTGTCATCCTGAAACAAAAACAAAAAAAACTACTACTTGAAACAACTGCAGTAAAATTCTTTCCCTTGGCTCACACATACTGTTAGATAGACTTTAAAAGTAAGAAAACATGGCTGGGTATGGAGGCACATGGCCATAATCCCAATGGTTTGGGAGATTGAGGCAGACAGATACTTGAGCCCAGGAGTTTGAGACCAGCCTGGCCAACATGACGAGGCCCTGTCTGTACAAAATACAGGAAAAAAAATTAGCCTGATATGGTAGTGCACACCTGCAGTCCCAGTAACCTGGGAGGCCGAGGTGGGAGAGAGGTTGAGTCTGCAGTGAGCCGTGATCGTTCCACTGCGCTTCAGCCTGGGAGACAGAGTAAGGCCTTGTTCCCCCCTGCCAAAAAAAAAGTTATAAAAAATAAGAAGATAAAGTTACCGGTATCTTTTATTTCCAAGTGATAGTAAATTTCAGTAGATTGTGATCTCACAGCTTTTCAATTATTAGATAATAGCTTAAATATGCCCTTAGTACTTCCCATTTTGACATGAGGCTACCCACCCAGTTATCTTGATGTATAATGACCAAGTTCTCTTTTTTTTTTTTTTTTTTTGAGACAGGGTTGTTGCTTTATTGCCCAGGCTGCTTTTGAACTCACAGGCTCAAGCAGCCCTCCTACCTTGGCCTCTCCAAGTGTCAGAAAGCACTCCACCCATCAACTAAGTTCCTTTTCTTTTCTTTTTGAAACGGAGTCTTGCTCTGTAGCCCCGGCTGTAGTGTAGTGGTGCGATCTCTGCTCACTGCAACCTCCATCTCCTGGATTCAAACGATCCTCCCACCTCAGCCTCCCGAGTTGCTGGAACTACAGGCTTGTGCCACCATACCCAGCTAGTTTGTGTACTTTTAGTAGAGATGGAGTTTTACATGCTGGCCAGGCTGGTCTTGAACTCCTGATCTCAAGTAATCTGCCCACCACCACCTCTCAAAGTGCTGGGATTACAAGCATGACCCACAGTGACCAGCAAGGTCCATTTTTTTTTTTTTTTTTTTTTTTTTTTTTTTTTTTGTTTTTTTTTTTTTTTTTTTTTTTTTTTTTTTTTTTTTTGAGATGGAGTCTTGCTCTGTAGCCCAGGCTGGAGTACAGTGGTGTGATCTCAGCTCACTGCAACCTCCACCTCTTGGGTCCGGGTTCAAGCAATTCTCCTACCTCAGCCTCTTGAGCAGCTGGGATTACAGGCACAAGCCACTATGCCCAGCTACGTTTTGTATTTTTTAGTAGACACGGGGTTTCACTATGTCGGCTAGTCTGGTCTTGAACTCCTGACCTCATGATCTGCCCTCCTCAGCCCCCCAAAATGCTGGGATTACAGGTGTGAGCCACCATGCCCAGACGCAAGTTCCTTTTTTAAATGCTATGTTACCAGACCTCCAAGCCAAGTGGCTATCTTTTGGTGCACACTGTTATATTTCAGAGCTCTGTAAAGCATTTTAATATCCTAACCTCTTGTTTTTCAATGTTTCTGACTTCTAAGGAGAGGCACAAAACTCATCTCTGGCTATATCAGCCAGCAAAATGTTAAAGAAATGAAAGTTAAGATACTTTTATATCAGTTTTGCTTGTACCTAACACTGGAAGTGTTATTATATCCCTTAGCTATGGCATTAATTTAAATTGAAACAAGGAACAGACATTTTGCTATGAACCTTGTACCTTTTGGACCTGAGCCTAGCTTGTTTAGACTAGAAATGCATATATTTTGAATCAGTAATGAAGATTAGCTAGAATGGAATTTTTTAAATTTGTAGATATCTTTCATTTTAAGTGTAGCTGATGTCAATTTATTGCAAAAAAAAACTGAGGAAAATGTGCTGGAAAAGACGGTCATGTACGACCCAGTTTGGACATGCTGGATGAATTAATCAGATATAGCACCATCTAGTGGAACGCTGCTATATTTTTCTCTTCTGAGTCATTTAACTCACAGGAGCCTAAAGGTGATGCTACCAAAAGTATTCTTTGGAAAAATCACTTTTCTAGCATAGTCCCTGTGGTAGACTGTGCCCTCCACTCAGTACTGAGCTCAGGTTGTCACTGGTGGCTTAGATTTAAAAGGGCAACCGTTTCCCAGCTATGGCTCAGGTCTGTGAGGGTAAGACCTAAACTCCTTGCTTCTTTTTTTTCATCTATTCTCTCTTATTTCCATGGCTGCCCTGAAGTTGCCCGTACCTCTCACTTGCCAAGAGCTTGATTTTTTTCCAGGCTGTCTTCATTTTTTACTTCTTTCTTGCACGTGTTGAAGAAAAATTTATGAGATTTACAGAATATTAAATCACCTCTATAACATCCAACTAAGTGACCAAACAGCCTTCTCCTGAAATTTCCAAAGCGGCCTCAGTGTATATAATCTCTAGCATAATGTTACATAACATATATTATAACTTATAGGTGTTCTAATACAGTGGTGCTCAAATGGTGGGGGGCAACAGGGAGGGAGGTGTGATTTAGCCACCTTCCCCCAACAGAGTATTTAGGAATGTCTGGAGATATTTTCGATTGTCACAACTGGTGGTACTTCTGGAATCCAGTGGTCAGAGGCCAGGGATGCTGCTAAACATCCTGCAATGTATAGAAAAGCTCCCTCACAACAAAGAATTACCCAACCCAAAATGCCAGTAGCGTTGAGGTTGAGAAAACATGGTCTAATATGATTTCCTCATTTGGTCTATTTGATTTCTAGGGTTTTTATATATTTTTGTAGCTATTATAAATTGGGTTGCTTTCTTGATTTCTTTTTCAGTTGGTGTATATAAATGCTATTGATTTTTGAGGGCCGGGGTTGGGTTGGAGATGGAGTTTTGCTATTGTCACTCAGGCTGGAGGGCAAAGTCGAGATCTCTGCTCACTGCAACCTCTACCTCCTGGGTTCAAGCTATTCTCCTGCCTCAGACTCCTAAGTAACTGGGATGATTATAGGCACCTGCCACCACACCTAACTAATTTGTGTGTTTTTAATAGAGATGGGTTTTCACCTTGTTGACCAGGCTGGTCTGGAACTCCTGACCTGAAGCAGTCCACCTGCTTCAACCTCTCAAAGCTCTGGAATTATAGGCGTGAGCCACCATGTCCTGCCTCAATGCTATCAATCTTTGTATGTTGATTATGTATCCTGCAATTTTACTGAGTTTGTTTATCAATTCTAACAGCTTTTTGGTGGAGTCTTAAGGTTTTTCTAAGTATACCACCATCATCTACTAACAAGGCTCATTTAATTTCTTCCTTTTCAATTTGGGTACCCTTTATTTCTTTCTCTTAACAAATTTCTCTGGCCAGACTGCTAGCATTATGTTGAATCAAACTGGTGAAAGTGGGCATCTTTGTCTTGTTCCAGATCTTAGATGAAAGGCTTTCAACTTTCAAATTCTCTCCACTCAGTACAATGTGAGCTGTGGGTTTGTCACATACGGCCTTTATTATTTTGATATATGTTCCTTGCATGCCCAATTTATTGGGGGGGGTTATTATAAAGGAATGTTTAATTTTATAGAATGTTTTTCAGCATCTACTGAACTGCTCATGTGGTTTTTGTTCTTGGTTGTGTTAATGTGATGCATCCATCTTTGCATTCCTGGGATGAATCCCACTTAATCATGGTGAATGAGCTTTTCAGTGTGTTTTTGAATTTGGTTTGCTAGTATTTTGTTGAGGATTTTTGTATCTAGGTTCATCAGTTATATTGGCCTGTAGTTTTCTTTTTTTGTTATGCCCTTCTGTGGTTTTGGTGTCACGGTAATACTACTTTGTAGAACGAGTTTGGAAGTATTCCTTCCACTTCAATTTTTTTTGAATAATTACAGTAGAATTGGTATTACTGTCTTTTCAAATGTTTGGTAGATTCAGGGTTTTCTTTGATGGAAGGCTTTTTGCTATAATTTTGAACTTTTTACTCCCTATTGATTTGTTGAGGTTTTCTATTTCTTCATGGTTTGATCTTGCCAGGAATTTAACCATTTCTTCTAGGTTTTCCAATTTGTTGGCATAGAGTTTTTCATAATAGTCTCTAATGATTCTTTGTATTTGTGTAGTCTCAGTTATTATGTCTCCTTTTCCATTTCTGATTTTATTTATTTGGACTTCTCTTTTTTATTTCTTAGTCTAGCTAATGGTTTGCTGATTTTCTTGCCTTCTGAAAACACCAGCTTTTGGTTTCATTGATCTGGTTTTTAAAATCTCAATTTTGTTTATTTCTGCTCTGCTCTTTATTATTTGTTTCTTTCTACTAATTTAGGTTTTGTTTGTTCTTGCTTTCCTAGTTCTTTGAGGTACACTATTAGGTTATTTGAAGTCTTGCTACTTTTTTGATATAGGTGTTTATTGCTGTAAACTTCCTTCTTAGTACTTCTTTTGCTGTATTCTATAGATTTGGGAATGTTGTATTTCCATTTACATTTGTTTCAAGAAATTTAAAACTTTTCTTCTTAATTACTTCACTGGTCATTCAAGAGTGTGTTGTTTAATCTCCATGTGTTTGTGCATTTTCTGAGATCCTCATGTCATCCGTTTCTAGTGCCATTCCATTGTGGTAATAAAAAATACTTAATATGATTTCCACTGTTTTGAATTTATTGAGACATGTTTTGTAGCCTAAATATGGCCTATTCTTGAGAACGTGGCATGTGCTAAAGTTTTCTGTGTTTTATAGCAGTTGGGTGAAATATTCTGTCAATATCAGTTTGGCCTATGTGATCTATTGTGTAGTTTAACTCCAAATGTTTCCTTGTCGATTTTCTGTCTGGATGATCTGTCCATTACTGAGAGTGAGGTGTTTAAATTTCCCTATATTATTATATTGCAGTCTTTCTCTCCCTTTAGATATATGAATGTTTGCTTTATATGCTTGGGAGCTCTTGTGTTGTATGAATATAACATTTTTAACTGTTATATCTTCTTGCTGAAATGACTCCTTTATCATTGTATGGTGACCTCCTGTGTCTCTTTTTACAGTCTTTGACTCGTAGCCTGTTTTACCTGATATAAGTACTCCTGCTCTTCTTTGGTTTCCAGTTGTATAGCATATCTATTTCTATACCTTCACTTTCAATCTATGTTGTCTTTATACGTGAAGTGGCTTTCTCATAGGCAACATGTAGTTGGGTCTTGTTTCTTTGCCATTCAACCATCCTCTGCCTTTTAATTGGAAAACTGAGTCCATTTACATTCAATGTTATTATTTTTCTTCAAGACAGAGTCTCACTCTTCTCTAGGCAGTGGTGTGATCATGGCTCACTGCAGCCTCAACTTCCTGGACTCAAGCGATCTTCCTACCTCAACCTTCTGAGTATCTGGGACTATAGGCACATTCCACCACATCTAGCTAGTAAGCTAGGATCTCACTATGTTGGACCAGGCTCAGTGTTATTATTGATCAGGACTTACTACTGCTATTTTGTAGCTTATTTATTTTGTAACTCCTCTCTTCCTTTCTTGCTAACTTTCTTTGTGGTTAAATGATTTTCTCAGATGATATTTTGTAATTTTTTTGCTTTTTATTTTTAGTGAAGCTATTATAGGTTTTCACATTATGGTTACTATAAAGCTTATGCAAAATATAGACATAAATTATTTTTAAAATATGATGAAAATTTTTATTACAGAGACGTTCTAAAAAACTTTATAAAGGTTTTCTTAGGTCTACAGTTTAATTCCATTCACCTCACATTTTGACTTTATGTTGCCTCAATGGACATATTTTTATATTGCCTATCTTTTTTTTTTTTTTTTTTTTTNTTATAAAGATGGAGTTTCACCATGTTGGTCATGACGCTGGTCTTGAACTCCCGACCTCAGATGATCCACCCACCTTGGCCTCCAAAGTGCTTGGATTACAGACGTGAGCCACCACGCCTGGCCTATATTGCCTATCTTTTATTAGGTTGCTGTAGATATTATTGTTTTGATAGATTTGTCTTTTGAGCTTTGTAGTAGTGTTATAAGTGGATTGTAAACCACAAATACAGTGTTAGAGAATTTTACGTTTGTCTGTATAGTTAATTTTACCAGTGAGTTTTGTACCTTCAGATGTTTTGTTCTTGTACATTAGCATTTTTCTCTTTCAGACTGAAGAGCTCTCTTTAGATTTGATAGATAAGACTGTTGGTGGTGAATTCGCTCGGCTTTTGTTTTTTCTGGGAAATATTTTATATATCCTTCATATTTGAAAGATGACTTTTTTGGATGACAGTGTTTTTTCTTTGAGCACTTTGAAAATATTGCTGTCTCACTTCCTTCTGGCCTGTGTGATTTCTGCCGAGAAGTCTATTGTCAGATGAATTTGAGATCCTTCAAATGTTAGTTGCTTCTTTTCTCTGGCTGCTCCTAGAATCCTCCTTTGTCCCTGATGTTTGAGAATTAATTATATTCCTTTGAGTAGACTTATTTAGGTTGAATGTGTTTGGTGTGCTCTGGCCTTCCTGTACCTGGATATTTAGCTCTTCCTCAAGTTTTGGAAAGTTTTCTGTTACTGTTTTTAAAAAAGAGCCTTCTACTTCTTGCTCTTGTATGATTCCCTCTTGAACAATAGTAATGCTTACATTTGGTCTTTTGAGTTAGATTTCTGTATCTTGAAGGTGACCTTCATTCCTCTTCATGCTTATTTCTTTTTGCTCCTCTGTCTGTATACTTTCAAAGAGCCTGTCTTTGATTTCACAGATTATTTTCTCCACTTGATCCCTTCTGCTGTTAAGAGCCTCTAATGAATTTTTCAGTTCTGCAAATATATTTCTCAATTTCAAGATTTCTGTTTGATTTTTAAAATTATTCCTATCTCTTTGTTAAATACCTCTGATAAATTTATGAATTGCTTTTCTGTTCCCTTGGAGGTCACATAGTTTCCCTAAAATAGCGATTTTTGAATTCTTGGTCAGAGTTCGCATATGACCATCTCAGTAAGGTCAGTCACTGATTTCTTGCTTTGTCTGTATGAAGAGGTCATGATTGCCTGTTTGTTATTATTTCTCGTGGGTCTACATCTATGACTTTGCATTGAAGACTGGTTATTCATTTCAGTCTCTTTGCTCTGGCTTGTTTTGGTTTTTATTGGATATGTTTGCTCTGAAATGATTTGTAATATACCAGTTGATTTTCTGTCTTTTTTCCCAACTGGGTCACTGCCTTCTTTTTGGCACTAGCTGGTGCCTTAAGCCCAGGTTTGCCTCAGTTCTAGCCAACAATCAGAGTGCTGCCTAACCTGAATGGGGGATGTCTCGAAGAGGATATCCTGGTAAGGTAGAAAGGCTCGCTAGGGTTGCATACTAAGGGGACCTATGGAATAAACCTCCTACAGTGTGGTGCTGCTGAACAGGCACTCTGATTTGGTGCCTTAAGATGATGAGGAAGCTCACTGTCCACCTCGATCTCACTTTTTGCAGTGTAGAAACTGTAAGTCAGAAAGAAAATTTCCTTGTGCTTGACGCTAGGGATACTAAGGGGAGAGGATTATGGATAAGGAAGCCTGAATCTCTCACCACCTGCTTGGAGTGTGTGTGTGTGTGTGTGTGTGTGTGTGTGTGTGTGTGTGT